GCTAGGGTGCTTAATTTATGAACAAACTCAGTACAATTGTACTTACTACCTGGTTCAGTATTTATCCAGTTTTTCAAAGACGGCTGTCTTCTGGGTTGTAGCGCTGTGTAGTATGGTATAAATTTAACAATGTTTAAGAGGTCCTTGCTGCCTCCATCATCAGTGCAATGAGTAATACTGAAAGCATCAAGAAACTCTTGAAATTCTGCTAAACTTCTACCATACTACACAGCGCTACAACTCAGACGAGAGCCGTCTTCGTACCGTCAGAACTTCAACTCCCACTCTAACTTTTCATTTCAGAACTAATGACATTAGTTACGTCTCTCACCACAATAAATAATGATGCGATAATTATGGCCAAATATAAACGTCCACGAGGTCACAGTCGTTGTATCGTCTCGGAGCAGGAACGAGGCAATTCTAATGGAAGTGTACAAAATGCAGTGACAGTTCACTTTTCAAACTCTGTTTTTTTTTTTTATATTTATGGTTATATTTATATATCTGTTTCAATGGTACCACCATCGCAGAATACTGAATGCAAGCGAAGAAAGAGCCTTGAATCACAATTTCTTCCAGCACAAGTCAACACCACTAAAACTTGCAAGTCACAGACTGATGCAGCCATGCAGTACTACCACAACATCAACACTAAATTTCTACAGGAACTCGCAAACAAGACAACTGCACAATGTTCACTCAACTTTAGAGCGCGACTGCTGAACGGCAAGGACGATATTGAACTCGGCAGAACCGTGGGTAACTCTGCACGAGACTAATTTACCAAATTTACTCTGTGTTCAATTCTTAATTCTTTTTATCTTAAAAGAAGAGGGGGGGGGGTAAAGATACGGAGAGGTTTCGAAAGTGACATATCGAGCTTCTACCAGAATGAGCTAACGACCAATTACCGAGGTCCTAAGACTGAAGACGTCTTCTCAAACCTAAATGGTTCGTCATGACTAGCTACGTCAATTACGGATATTTTTTTGCACGATTCCGCCATCCCTCGGTCGTGACGAAGTCAAATTCTGTCAGTGTCGAGGCCCCACCACCGTTTCAGAGTAAATACTTTGCTGGAGCAGAGATTTCCTCCTCTCGCCAATATCTTTGTATCTTTACCACTGCTCGATCTATCACAAGGCTAAATGGTAATGGCACGTACGATAATTCAGCCTTACAAGACAAAGATAATTTAGCTATTCTTTCTTTATCACAGACAATTGAAATATTTAGCTGTCAGTAGTAATTGGCAAAAGAAGTTTTAACCAGAAAAAGATTAAAATTCTTTTTTGAGATCGACACGTGCTGTTTTAGTATAAGAAAACATGGACAATTCCCTACGAGAGTCAATTGGGCTGGTAATTTTGGAAATAATTCTAAATAACAACAAACCACAAGGTCTAATATGTAAGCAAAGAAGAAAAAGTGATATAATAAATTATAACGCATCAAATATCTGGGAGTAAATTTAGTAATTACATTGCAGTAATGCGATGAACTCGATGGTATGTGATCCGGCTGTCTGCGCAGAAATATAAACATTTTTAATTGAAGTTGTGAATGCGATGCGATTTTGACTTTCGACAATGACAAATTTGAAAGATGATTCTAATCACAAAATGGTCTTTCCCTGTTTTTCTTGTTCCCATAACCCGTCATATTTTCACGCTAGCCATTCGATGTTTATATACGGCACATTTTAATTATCCTTTCTTACGAAGGAATCTTCGCGATGTGTAAATGAGAGGAAACAATTTAGACATTAACTACTATTAGCGGCTGTAATATTGAGACTTGCGAGGAACGCGGGACGTCAGAAAGCGTTAAAGGCTGAGCACAACAGACGCTATCTCTCCTCCTACCTCATTCACCCCACAAGTCTCAAGATTAGAGTTGCGAATTTAACTCTTATATGTTACGTCTAGATGAAGTTCATTTACGCCTCAAGTCGAAAAGCACGACTTTAGACTTCTATTCTGAAAATTGCAAAAACATTTCCTTACGGACAACTGCACTAACAGACGGACGTATCTTCCCCATGTGTGACGTAATACTCTTAGACCTGACCACAGGTCTGCCCCGCTGTTGTGTGAACATTGTGCACGTGTCACTCTTGAGCTACCTGGTTCCAGCCTGTGACAGGTTGTGTCGTTGCGTAAGTGGACTGCTGCTGCCACGTGGGGATTCCCTCACACAGTGTCTGTCGTCCCCATGACTGCGAGTCACTAATGTGGCACGCTGATGCCAGGGTGCTAGGCAGCGACTGCCACTGCTCCCCTCCTGGATCGCTCGGTGGCGCGTCATCTAACGTCGGCAGAGCTCTAGCCACGTCTGCTTGCGGAGCGTGGAGGACTCTGCCCCCTGGAGGATGAACTCCGTTGGTGCTGTCCTCCGCTATAGTCTGGAATGCCACCTGTTCTCCGAACTCCCCCTCGATGGCGTGTTTGTACTGGAGAGCCCGGTCTTCCACGATTGTCTCTTGAAGGGGGAGGGGAGGCAGTATCTGCGTCTGCTGCGCGAGCTTATAGGAGGCCTGTCGCAGCATCTGACGCCGGCTCATCACCTCACTCACGCTTGGCTGCTGGAAAGCACCTTGCTTTTGCAGAATCTGTCTCTTCTGCTGCAGCAGGCTAAGCGGCAGGCTGACTCGTGGCGCGGAGCGCATGAATTGAGAATGCTGTTCACTTGGCTGATACCTGCTTCGTAGGGCCTGATGCTCACGCTGAACAAGATGAAGTTCCATGATGCCCTTGGCTTTGCCTGTCTCGTGCAGCCTCTGACTGTTGAATGCAATCACGCCCCCTCCGGTCACATTCCCGCTCCCTCCATCCACTCCCTGCTGAGCCACCAGGCCATCCGAGGCCCGCCGTCCCTCTCTGAAATCGACGGGCGAACGTGTGTTGGCACGGCTGGTAGCACTGTGCAGCAGGGGATTGTGTGGCTTGGTGTACACTGTAGCGGCAACACTCTCTTGGGGGGTGCTGCAGGAAGGCAGACTGGAAGCCAGATCCGACTCCAGCTGGTAGTCGTCGAACGTGGATCCAGAGCACGAGTCAGAGCTGAGGTGTTGACTCAGGCTCTTGTTGCCACTCGAGGAGGATGAGCTTGCGTAAGAGGCCAGGCGCTGATGCTGTGATCTTGTGCTACTGGCAGGAGAGTCCTCCATGTCTGTTTCCACACCCTCATCTGCATACTGTACAGAAGGAACCACACCTGCAGACAGAGAACTGCCAAGATTGCTAAACCGCGGCTGCTGTGATGAGTAATGGTACTGATATAGGTCTCTGAATGGTGGGGGGTGATTCACGAGGCGAATATCTGCTGAAGGTGCAGTTCGGCTGCTAGATCGTGCCAAGAAGAAGTCTTGTTGAGTGGGTACTGCTGGGAACTGAGGTGCTAGGTCCTGTGGGGGGTAGGACAATCGGGTATGCTCCCCACTTGCACGTCTGGTACTGCTTTCTGGGATGCCGCTGCTGGCCAGAGTAGAGGGAACCGCTATCCCCAACTTGCGCATGGCCTGCTCGGCGATGGTGCTCGGGCGCCGTCGCTGCATCGAGTCCAGGGACTGCTTTCCACTCTGTCCGCTGGTGGAGCCAGTGTCGTGCGACAGTGGGAAGCTGCTGCGTTGCTGTCTCAACCGCTCCAACAATAGAAAGTAGATGGCTGCATGGTGATCATAGCTCCCACACCGCAGAGACTGCAATCAATTCACCAGATCACATACTGACTCAGCACTTTGCATTGTAACTTTATTCTTTATAAAACAGTGACATCACTTTAAAGAACAACATTACTCAGTGTTCTTAAGAGAACACTGTCCTGGTCTCGGAGCGACTCACCTCCCTCGTCTTGACTGCGTCTATCCCAAGGCTCTGCATCAGTCGCAGAATCTGCTCGTTCGGCTCTGTGCCGTGCTGCTCTCCGCCAGTACTCGGCAGCAGTCTGGGGGCCTCGGCAACCATCCAACGGTGCCTCTTGATATGATCGACACTGTACCGCTTGCTTGGGTCTAGCACCAACATCTTGCGGATCAGAGATTCACAATCTGAAATCACAGTTACCTCAAATACTGGGGGATGTGCCATTTGTACTTCCACGACCTACGTCGTTTATAAGCATGATGGAATGCCTGTTCATTTTACCTGCAGCAAAAAGCAGTTTTTGAACTCTCATTACACAGATTTAGAGATATGACAAAAATGGACCAGTTCTGTGGTCTCACTCCTGCCAACTTCTCGAAAGTGTCGACACAAGAGGATGAGCTCTGGTATTTGATTCAAGCGGGCTGTTAAGAACCAGGAATTCTTAATGTCGCAGGACTCAGTCACGCACTCAAACTGTGCCCTTCGGATGCCCCCATTCAAAACCGACTGCACACCACAATATCGTACCACTAATCTGTTCTTCGAGGAGTTGACAGCCACATTCTATGGGAGTCTAAATCTCATTCCCATACATTTAAGACTCAAAGAGAGCAGGTGAGTGTGTGGACTGGATTGAGCTGGCTCAGGACAGGATTCAGTGCCCCTTAAAAAAGGAACTCTTTTGACTAACTTAAAAGCAATAATTTTCTAAAAAATACTACGCACTACAGAATTAATATAGCTTAATGAATTATAAATTAGGAAAGTGGCACTATCACAGCATGTGTCTGGGAGGGCTGAGGAAAACTAAGAAACCTGAGATAAGAATGAAACCCAGGAATTACTGAATATAAAAATGTTTTGCTAATGATTCGATCGCATCGCAATATGGATGGTATGTTTATTAATGAATTATTATAATTTTATTGTGATATAATAATGCAATACGCCACACTCTGTAAACCGCGATCTTTGTCCAAGGCCTGAATCCATTCAAAACAGTGAAATGTACATTAGCTTTTTTTGTGATATTCAACTTAACCTAAAAATGCGTGATAAAACAATGTAGAACTCCCAAACGCATCAAGATACTGGGCCACTCCAATCTAGATTGCAGTCAGATAAAACATTACTCTTCTACGGGGCTGTAATTTGTAATCCATATCGAACGAATTCAGGTTTGCACCAGTCGACAGTGAACAAAGTCCCTTGTGCCGGTTATGCACCACATTATCTGCTGCTGACGCAAGAGGCTAGGCGCTGTGACGTAAACGTGGACTGTGG